TTCAAGAGAAATAAAAAAAAAGTTTAATTGAACTTATTGATCTCACATTGGAGAAATTTAATTCTGCATTTAACCCATCCCCTCGGGGAGCAGTGGGCTGCCATGGTGGGGAGCAATCGGGGATTAATGGTCTTGCTCAGGGACCCAGAGTGGCAGTCTGTGGGAGGGGGGCTCAAACTCAGAACCTCCAGATTTCAAGCTGCACAATTGGAAAAGTTTTTTTACAAGTTAAACCCATTGTCAACTTTTGAAAATGAAGAACAAAAGAAAAAGTCTTAAAATGTGGATAATATCTGTAAAAAAGCTGCTGGAGGAATTAATAATGGGAGAAATTAAAGAAATTGGAGGATATATTTATGGGATACCTCTAGATGAAGATCTTGATAAAATAAAGACAAGTATTTGTAGGTTCAAAAGTGAATAATCTGAAGAGATTTTCAAAAATAATAAACGGGAAAAAAAGGAAGTTTAATCCATCCTCATTGAAATTGAAGAAAAGAGTTTCCACAAAACATCAAAATGGGTTACCTCAGTTTTCAGGTCAGACCTTCTCTCCCATCATAGCTTTGCCGTTTCAAATGTCAAAGGTATGGACACATAAATGTCCAAAATGTGGTGAAGATAACAAGTTAGAAAAATGTAAAGAAGTACAAGAACAATGTTGTAACTGTGGAGGACGACATAGAGTTGCATATGGAGGATGTGAAATAAGGAAGAAGGCAAAAGAAACAGACTACAGTGACTAAAAACATAGCCTATGTTTTTAGTCACTGAAAACGAGAGAGAGAACGAACAGCAAGGTCAATCGAAATAATGGAGGAGTTAAGTTGATAATTTGAAGGGAAAATAATTTGATGTGGGGATTTTAATGCAAAAAGTACATTGTGGGGTTAATGTAGTGATATAAATGGACAAGTTATAGAAGATAAATGAATGAATGAATAGTCTTGTATGTATTAATGATGGGAGGGGAATGAATGTAAGAGCAGGGATAGAATCAGTTATTGATTTAACTATTGTCTCTAATGTGTTAGCTGGTATATGTTAGTGGTTCATTGATAAAAATTCAACAATAGGTAGTTATCACTATCCCATAACAATAAGAGTAGGATGATATTTAGTTAATAAGAATATATGTGTCAAAAAACTAAATTTTAATAAGGCAGACTCGATTAGATTTAAATATTTCAGACTGCATTTATTAAACAAACATATATTTACTTTTCCTTCTTGAATTTGACTTTGTCCTGAAACGTAAAGCCGATTCGACATCAGTGTTATTTTGAAGAGAGAGTGAGTTGGCTCCCTGACAGTGACTTTGCTCTAAATTTCTTTCCATTTAGGAATTTAAGTTGATATATAAGTAAAAAAGTTTAGACTTTTCTAGTATTTGACCAGGCAGTTGATTGACATTGCTTTTTAATATGTGGGACACCAGGGTAGAAGTGAAAAATGGTGAGCAGTCCCGCACTTATCGGGGCATCTGGTTAAGAACCGTCCTAACCATGATCCACTGGTCATCAACAGCTCAGCTGTAGAGGTGGTCAGCAGCACCAAATTCCTGGGGGTGCACATTACACACATCCTCACCTGGAATGTAAACACCACCTCACTGGTCAAAAGGGCACAGAAGCGCATGTACTTCCTGCAGAGGATGAGGTTAGCCCACCTGCCCCCACCCATTCTCACCACCTTCTACAGAAGCACCATAGAGAGCGTTCTAACCCGCTGTCTCACTGTGTGGTGTGGAGGCTGCAGCGCCTCAGACTGGAAGAAAGTGAGGAGGGTGGTGAGAACAGCAGAGAGGATCATGGGGGCTCCTCTTCCCTCCATTAAAGACATTTCATCCCAGGGCTGCGTGTCCCGAGCCCATAACATCATCAATGACCCCTCACCCCCCCACCATGGACTGTTCTCCCTGCTGCGCTCTGGGAAGAAGCTTTGCAGCATCTGGTGCAGGTCCAGCAGATTCTGCAACAGCTTCTTCCCCACCGCCATCAGACAGCTGAACTGTTGAAAAACCTCTAAATCATGTCACAAATTTTGCATCAAACTGACAACACCCAACCAAAAATACCTCATATTTGCACCATATATATTAATGCTTTGAACTTCCACATCCATGTGTTTTTTGCACCACACTGTTAACATTTGATCATGGCTGCACCTTAAGGATTGGAGATGTTCATTTACTGTCTGAAAGCTGTACTAAACGAAATTTCATTTTGTTTACATTCTGTGCAGACAAAATGACAATAAAAGTTGTCTAAGTCTAAACATATCTATATTATATTATAGTGAATCTCCTGTATTATTATTTAGGATGTTATTAGCAAGAAGAAGGATTTAAAAATCAATTCTGTAGTTAACCAATGAAGGGAAGCTAAAAGAGGAGATATGATCTCTTTGACGGTTTTTAACTAGTGTGTGGATTTTCTGATAGCAAAAAATTAATAATCTGAAAAAGGACATCCTGCAGGCATAGCCAGGTAAAAGTAAGACATTGTGGAAAACTTCAGTAACAACAACCCACTGAAACTGTGGAAAGGAATTAGGACCTTCATGGATTATGAACTCAGTGACCAGCAGCCATGATTGAGGTCTTCCAGACTCCATGAACAGCTTCTTCTCTCACCGCAGCCAGAGGTGCTGCATCAGCCTCTGGTCCTGATGCTACACCAGATGTCCAACATGAGAAAGACCGCTTCAGTTTGTATAAACCCAAACTGCAGTTCCTCATGAACTCTGATATTTTGTTTTCACAAAATAAAAACTTTCTAAAGTAGGCAAAACTGATCCCTTGTTGATTCTGATAAAAAAGGGTAATTAAAAATAATGAATATGGTCCCAGCTCCTCAATGATGGGAAGATTGTGGCTGTGAATATAACTAAACACCACCCTCTAGTGGTGATAAATTAAACAACACTTTCAGACTTTTCAATGAAAACCCGAATTCCCAAAAAAATAAAACAATAAATCTAAAATCATCAATTATTGATGCATCTATTATGACTGTCATCACCTTTACAGTCATAACAATTTTATAGGAGCCATCTCGTAAAATGTTACACTTAGTAAAAAAGAGATTTTATTACTTTTGTAAAATTAGACAAGTAATTCTTATGACAAATAATCAATGCGTAGGACCTGTTCTTGTAAAGGATCCAAGGCATTTAACTTAAGCATAGCATCAATGTAAGTTAAACAATTAGGATATACTGTTTACTAAACAGTATAAATAAGTCTTGACTCTTTAGCTGCAGCCAAAAATGGATCAGCATTCAAATGTAACTTCATAACTTTGTATTTCTAACAAATTAGCAAAATGTTTTTCACATTGGCATAATAGCGTAATAATGATTATGTATATAATTGTGAGAAAACAGATTTTTCTAGTACCATTTGGAATACAGATGAGATTAAACTAATTGTAAAAATGAAAAATGCATAAAAATGAATACTTTTAATGATGCATTGTAAAGTACTGTTTAATAAAAAGTCTTTTCATATTAGCATTAGCAAATAATTCCATTGTCCATGTTAGACTGGTAGATGACATTGTGGATGTATCTAATAACTCATGTGAGAAAATCAAAATCCTTTCATTAAAAATTATCTTTTTGGTTCGATTTTGGTTTAATTTTCATATTTTTTTATTTCTTACCCCTGCATAAAATTAAAGTATGTTCAAGGGACCACAAGCATTTAAAATAATAAAAAAAGAAACTAACAAAATAAAAATCCCTTTTCATTAAATGTCTACATTTTAAGTTATCTATCTATGTTTGCTAAATACATTTTCAATTGATAAACATCTTCATGTGACACTTTTGGCTTCCCGTATGATGTAAAACTGGAAGAACCAGTCCTGAGTTGAGCAATTGGAGATTTAAGGATTACGATTGAAATAAAGAATACATAAATTTTGTGAAAGATGACTATTGTACGGAAGAGGATCAGGGACACTGAAAAAATAAAAAAGTTGACTGATTTTTTTAAATTTTATTTTAGTTTAATATGGGGAAAAAGTCAGAATTTTGACTGTAATTTGAGAATTCTGCCTTTTTTCTCAGAATTTAATCTCAGAATT